ACTAATTCAAGGTGACTAGATTGGAGATTCAAGCTTCAGGAGTTGAAAATCTCAAGTTGAGGAAGTCGTATAGTGACCTCAAAGACTTCGATTTTCCTTATCCTTTTTGGTGATTTTTAAGCACTTCTAGGTATGGAAAGTTTGTGATTGATGAATTTGTTGTATGGTACTACTTGTGCATTGATTGATTTCATAGAATGTTGGTTGCTTTGATTGAATTTCAAAGGAATGCTAGGTTGCTTGAGCTTTGGTGTTGGAAGGTGTCTTGGTGGAGAATTTGATGATCTATGAAATGTAATGGTTACATTTTGTGTATTGAGTTGATTTTGAGCTATTGATGATGTCTAGATATTGTATTATATGTTGCATGTTGGGTCTTTCTTGAGTTTCAAGTGAATTTAAGCAAAATAAAATTTTGTCAAGTGCAGAAATACTCATTACGCCAAATGTGAGAAGAGAGAAACATCTCTATCTTGGTTATACCAAGCATGGATTGAATGGCATTGAATGCGAGGAGAGAGAAACTTCTTTTACTTGCTGATGTCGGACCTAAGATCAAGTGACACCCAACATGACAAAGATAGAGGTTGTTTCCTTAGATGACACTGGGTGTCAATGTGGTGACATCAAATGTGAGTCAGGTAAAAACTCTCTGCTTGATTGAAGTTGGGCGTGGGTTTAGCCAGGCCAAATTTTATTGACTCAAAGGCTTTCCGCCTCATCCACGTTGGACGTAGGTGGATTGACATTAGATGTGGGTGAGCTTGAGACTCTCTGCCTTTATTGATGCCAGACACAGAAAGAGTGACGTTGAGTGCGGTATGTTGAAATAAAATGTGATGTTTTTAATTATTTATAGATTGAGAAATGATAATTCAACTATATTGTTGATGTTGTATGATATTAGTTGATTATGCATTGATATAGGATAATGTATAATGATATATGAAGTTTTTGAGCTATTAAATGATAGTTGATAAAGTTGAAAGTTGTATGATGTTATAATTGATCAAGTTGCTAAGTTTATAGGCTTATGATAAATATACATGTCTTAGTTGAGGTACATAAAAATTAGAAGAGAGTAAAGTTGTTTTAGAAATTAAAATATTTCATTGTGTGAATATAAGTTATGGTGTTATGAGAATCTAATTGAAAACCTTTTAGTAAGTTAGCTTATGAATGAGTATTTTTTTTAAGTTATCTCCTCTAAATTTTATGTAGAATCCGTATGGGAATTAAGTCGAGTCATTCGTGTACAAAGTGATCATTGAGTAAAGTATGAAGTCGAAGGATAAAATTCTTAACTGATTACTAAATAGACGCGTAGTATTTGAAAGGTAGTCGACAAACTAATTTTATATGAGGCTTAGATATACATGTTAAAGTCGTGGTAGACTTACGCCTAAGTTGTCTTATCTTGATGATAGTACTAGACTTTTCTAATTTAAGTGGTGAAACTTGATAAATCAATTTAAGTTGTATACCTAATGCTCTTAAAGGCTTAACGTTATCTATACTTAACATGGTTGTGATAGGTCAAACATTGTGGTTTAGTAGGGTCTAATCGCTTAAACTGCTCATCTTTTGTTGTAAGAGATCCTTATAGTTGAAATAAAGGGTAAATAATTGAAGTTGTTTCATCGTACAGAATCTTCCAAATCGCTCAAAATTAATTTTATCTTCCAAATTCATTAATTTGACAATTGGTATTTAATTTCTATATTATAATGACTTGATATGTTTGTCTCAAAATCTCATCAAATTATAAACTGTCATTTGAATAAACACAATTTTATTCAAATGAAAGTTTACGTTTTCTTTAATTTTTTTAATGAAAGTTTAAGATTTTTTATAAAGAAAATGTATTTGAATAAAAAATTATTTTTATTTAAATAAATAAATATAAATTCGCATGAGTAATGATTTCAATAACATGTTGTTTGAATATGAGTAACATTTTATTCAAATACAAATTAATTCTGAGTATATACTATATTAAAGAAATAAAAAGGTGTGAGTCAAATTGTGAGACCCACATCATCTTAACTCACTTTTTTTTTATTTATTTATTTGTTGACAAATTTATTCGATACTAAACAATCACAAATCTTTTTTTTTTTTTTTTTTTTGAAGGGAAATCACAAATCTTTTTCTTCGCTATTTTTTTTCTCTACCTTATTTCTTTGTCATTTCACATGTACCAAAATAAATATTAGTCATTTTAGCTTTTCTCCTCCAAAACTGCTGAGTTTTTAAAATTTCAAAATTTAATTAATATTTTCAGTTATCTTTTTATTTAACAGACATTTTTTTTCAACTATTTACTTATTCTTTTAGAAAAAGGAGATAATAAAGTTAAGATGAGTACTAAATAAATATTTTTAATTTAAATTTACATTTATAAAATATTTCTTAATTCAAATGCATTGACGTAAAAACAAATTAAATATTTGAGACAGAGATAATATTGTTTTAATTTTTGAACACAATTTTGTATTAAAAGAGTCTAACTCGCGGAATAATTGGCATTGTATTTTATGGAAAATGAAGCAACTTCATTTTTTTTAAGCAAATTGGAATTGTAATGTTCAAATGGGTCGTGACTCGTGACTCGTGACTCGCTATCTTTTTTGTTACCTGTGGGGCATTTTTTAGTTATATCATTCTTATGTAATAATTTTCAATCACATTTTCTATTTTTTTTTATCACATCAATCATGGTGATTATACACTAACGTGTCCAAATGGCTTGATCATGCATTCATATAATGGTATTTTTTTTTGTTTGTCAAATTGAAGTAACTTTTTTCTTGATGCCATCTAATTATTCCCTTTAAGTTAAGATGTTAATTAAAAATTATTTACAAATTATATATAATTGTATTTTTTTTAAAAAAATAATGTTCTGGTATAGTCACCATGAAGGTAAAAATGCTTAGGGTGTTAAAAGAAGTTTCCAAAGACCATGTTGAATAAATAATTATTTAATTAAGAGTGAATTTTTCAGCAGAGAAATATGAAATGTTAATAGTTTGATTTTGAATAAAAAGGAAATTTTAAATCTTTACTGCTTTGTAAGTTGCAACGGATCCAGAAATCCATGAAAGGAAGGTCAATTTTTTTCATTTAAAATTATTTAAACATATAATTATTTAATAAATAATGGATTCCACAAAAATAAATTTTGTTTTACATATAAAATTAAAAAATATTTTTATTATAAACAATAAAAATAAGAAAACGTAATAGAAATTTATATCACCGAAAAAAAACTATTTGAAAAGATGGAAATTTCTGTAGCTCACAGGATATATTCTTTAAAAATAATTAAGGAAATGTAATAAACTTTTAAAGACAATCGTTGAGTAGTACGTATAACAAATTCTTAGTTTGCATGAATACTAAAAAAACATTATCATGAGTTATAACAACGATTGAATAAGTCTTACAATCCAACCAGGTTACAAAATATTTTAATAAATGAAAATCATTAAATCCTATACAACAAGATACTTGCACAGTTTCAAATATAAGAAGAAAAAAGCAAATTTCATTTTATTTAATGTTATCATTCTCAAAATATCTTTCATTTATTTGAGTTAGTATTTTCAATGATTTTTTATTGTTAATATTAAATTTTAAAAAAGAATAGTAATTTAGAAAATAAATTATTTTTAAATGAGATAAATGAAATTAAATAATGTTAATTAATTAATTGATTAACGCGATTTTTTTATATTAGAAACGGAGTGAATAATATATATAACCCTACGATTATTTTACTTAAATATCCATGAAATGTGAATACGTAAAAACTTCCCCGCATTGAATAACTTTTGTTTGTTAACGTTCAAACAGGGAAAAAGAATAAAATTGGCCAATTTATATTTTTCGAAGCTGGACCATAACAAACAAATTCTCCTAATTTCACATTAAAATATCCTTGCAACCACTTCTCCTAATTTCACACATTTTTCGCGTCTTCATTAGATATTTATGGCATAAGAAGTAGTAAACTACATGGACATTATTTTAATACTTTTTCTTTATTACTAGGGAATTTCTCTCTACCAATCACCAAGGTTAATCTCTTTTAAGGGTTTGACTTACATTAAGTAAGTGAGCATTATTTTAATATGAACTAAAGTATAGTATATTAAAATAATAGACTGTGATATTAGAAAATCAAATATAGAGATAAGGGAATAATTTGAGATGGTCAATGGAAAAAAATTTGAACTCATTGGGGGAATAATATGTAAAAGTGAAATACACATTCAAATGAGAGATGAGACTACTTAAAATGTCTTAATTAAAAGGGTGAGGAAAGTGAATTTCTCATTCTCCAATTAATAGAGTAACACATTGTTTAACGAGGGTGTGGGTTGGGGGGAGGGACATAGGGTTGGAGTGATAAGGAGGGTGTGGGTTCGAATCCTCCCACTAACAAAAAAACTAACAATTAACAACTAACATTTGCCTATCAAAAAAAAAAAAAAAAAAAAAAAAAAAAAAAAAAAAAAAAAAAAAAAAGAGTAACACATTGTTGACACTCCTAATGAATAAAATTCATTATAAAAAAAACAAGTCCGAGATTTTCAATAATGTTGAATTATTAAAATAAAAAGTGCATTAAAAAAATGTATTGTTTCTAGGGATGGCAAATATACCCGTACCCGCGGGTAATACCCAAACCCGTCCTGACTTTGACGGGGAATATCCGGTTTGACCGGGTACGGGTACGGGTATGGGTAAAACCCGATATATTAAATCGGGTACGGGTACGAGTATGTACTTACCCGCCCCGTACCCATACCCGTCCCCGTTCCCATTTTTAATTTAATATCCACTTTCAATTTAATTTTATTAAAGAATTTTAATATTTTTTTATGTGTGATTATTTATTATAATATGAGATAAAGAAATAACCTGATTATAATTATAATATAATTAAAAAAAATAATTTAAAAATATTATATTTTTAAAAAATAAAAAATAAAAAAATTTGACGGGTACGGATACGGGTATACCCGATACCCAACGGGGACGGGGATGGGGATGAAAATCTATACCCGACGGATATATATGGGGACGGGGACGGGAATGAGTTTAACTTGCGGGGATGGGGACGAGTATCATGAAACCCGTACCCGCCC